TTGCCAGTACAGGGAACACAGCCAGTGCCAAGGTCCCCCAGAGGCAGCACTGCAGCCTAAGGCATAATTGTTTCTACTAACAGTTGATTTTGTTGCCCTGGATTTCTCAAAATGACAACACAGCATACTGGAAACCATGTGACACCAAAAGTTTGGTAACAAGCTGTTATATATAACAGATGCTTTATACAGAGTCAACATATTGTCTGCATTGTTATTGTTGCTTAAAAGCGGTGCAGTTGTCTCATGGGACAAATTCCTTTGCGGTGATGCTGGTTGCACAGCAGCTTCATTCAAAGACACCCAAAGTATCTAAGATCAATACAACCAATGCCTATTTATAGAATTCAAACCCCTGTGGTTATCTAAATGCTAAAAACCAGGGTGACTACAGAATTACAAAATCCTTGGTGTTGGGAAACTTATCTAACCTTGCCACTGACCTATTTAAAGATAATCACAACAGCTTCTTAATTAAGTTTATATACAATGGAGGGGTGCATCAGCTGTGAGTCTTATGTTGTAGCTGTTGCTAGTTGAAGTGATACTGTTTAGTCTGCTTTTGATCTGTCCAAGTCAACTGATAAAAGGGCTTTTCAGACAGGTCAAATGGACCACCCCCTTCAGGCATGGGAGAGTACCATATCCTTTCCCCCTGTGATTCAGGCATCTCTCTCTAGTAGGGTACCTGTGTCCTTCAACAACTTATCAACATGAGAACATCCAGCAGGTAAGGGGATTTTGATCATGCCAGTAAAAGTGTCACCTGATGCATTTTTGTTTTCTACACAATTGTCAGAGCCTTGTCAGAAAAATAATTGCAACTATATCTTAGCATATCAGGATACCATAAACTTTATGTATGGTTCATACGTAAGGGGATTATGGTTATAACTATGAATAGTTTGCAAAAAATTAGGCATGTTCTCAGAGTCTTATCTTCTGTCACTATTCAAGAACGTGCATATATTGTCTGTTGCACAACTGTGGCAGTTGTTCTGTGTGCAAACTCCTACCCCACAGAATAATAATTATTGAAAAGCAATTTCCAAGTTCTGTATCAATTGTAAAGGGTAGTAATAAAGAAGGGAAAAGCAGTATCCGAAGACATGCTATGGTATTTTGTCAGGATGTTGAGAGTGGTAAAATGCAACTGAAAGAAGGGGGCTGTCTCTCCAGATGCATGATTTTGGATGCTGCAGTTTTCCAAAACAGCATTTAGCATGTATCACACAAGCACACATACATTCTACTGTCAACTATTCTACCAGAAAACATACTTTCATTAGCAACCACTAATTAAATACCTGGACTTACATATATGTTTTATACAGAAATCAACTACTGAGCCATTGATTCCAGTACAGCATCCATTATTACTGGCTGTCACTCTCTAATAGGGTTGTCAACCTCCAGGTGGGGCCTGGAGGTCTCCTGGAATGACAACCGCTCTCCAGACTACAAAGATCGGTTTCCCCAGAGGAAATGGTAGCTTATCAGCATGGACTCTCTGGCATCACATTCACACTAAGCTCCCTCCCCTATTCAAACACTCCCCTCCCCAGGCTCCACCCCCAAATTTAAGGGAATTTCCCAACCTGGAGTTGGCAACCCTACTCTCTAGAGCTCCAGCCAAAAACCTTTCACCATCCTGCTGTGTGAGATTCAGTGACTGAACCTGGGATGGTTCTGAGTGGCCCTTCTATCATCATGCTATGTGGAACTACATTCGGCATCAAACCAATGATTTGAATGACTTCCCGGCGTCCTCCGCTGGTCCACTGAGACCCACTTAAGTAAAGAACAGCTATCCACAAAAAAGTTAAGAAGGTCGAGGTAAAGTGTTGATTGCAGCTGGGAGGGATTTATCAAAGAGGGAAACTTAGGGAAGTTGCCAAAGTCCAGGCAATCTTGAATTTCAGCCACCTGCAAGATGTCCACTGGGAGATTCCTCCAAACACATCTAATCCACTGTATAGCTTCTCCACTGGACTTTGTCACAACTGCCTCACCTATATGGCCAGTGGGAATGTTTAAAAAAAGAAACAGTGGAAGATGATCACCCCCTAGGTAATCTCCAACAACAAACTCTTGAACCAAGGGGAAAAATTCTTGAGATATCAAAAGAAAGTCAACAACACTAGAACCCCTTGGGGTATAACATGTAAAATCGCCTAGTGTATCCGGAGAAACTACACCGTTTAGAAAAACCAAATTCTGCGTGAGCGCCATTATGGCTAGCCATTTGCCAGCTAAATTAACCTTTGAGTCCTTGGAGACACAATAAAACCAAGGAGGAGGCAAAGCTAAGTTGTCTAGTATTTTAGTTGCATTGCCACCTTCTCACTGAGTGATCAGACAGCATCTGAGAGTTAAGTGTAATACAATAGAAATCGTAAATTTTCTGTGGGTATTCTGCCGTTGCACTGTGTAACTGCAGAATGGTTGCAGGATTTGACATCCTATGAGTCTTAGCTGTCATGGGGGAGCTTTTAAGTTTCTGGCCCTTAAAACTGCAACAATGGCATACAGACAATGCTGGCTAAAATACTGAAGTAGGGGGTTATGGATTGATACAGGGGGCTTCACTCTCTGTTCCTCCCCATGACTAACAGAAGCAGAATACAATATGCAAATTAGCTTAAGTCACATTTTATACATATTGCAGAATCCAGCTTTCATTGGCACAAATATGGGTTACTGTGGCACAGAATTTATATATATGTATATATTAGCACATTATATACACAGACCCATTCCCTTGCTCTTTTTATGACAAGACGGGGCCATATAATCACTATCTGAATTAACACAACCATCTCCCCAAGAGCATTACAATCACCTTACAAGACAACAGAATTCTAACCTCTCTCCTTTTTTTTTGCTACTTTATCAAATGCTCATTAAACATGCTTAGAATCCCTGCAGACATGCTACCTATTCTGAAGTGGAATGGGCTGAGAAAAGTAGTAACTAAATTGCCTCTTTGTTCCTTGCAAGCCAGGTAGATTATTGTTCACTAGCTCCTCGATACAGTTTGAAAGACGATGAAAATTCAGAAAGTGGAAGGCAACATTCCTCAGGACACTTCAACAAAGCTGTCTGGCAGGATCTACATGTCATTCGGACTGCTGGAAAAGGGAAATAAACCTGACTACACACATAGCATACTAACAGCCAACAACACAGAGACAGATGATGGCACACACATATTTCTAATGCCATCAGTCTAGGATTTCTGGCACCACAGCAATCCTATCTTGATGCAATATTTATGTTCTGTATGTCAAGCCTGTGCCAGAATGCAAGCAAACCTCATAACTGAGAGCTGCTTGAATCATTTATGGGAGCAGAAAGTGTGCTGTTGCCTTGGCCATCCAAAATCCAGTAGCAGATTAAGGAAGAGCAGATCAGCTGCAGACCCCTGTACTTCAATGGTTGCTTATTTCTTCTGATTCCATAAAAAAACTTGCAAGACCCTAGTCCTTATCTTCGGTCTATGGATTATCATAGCAAGAAAACTGGACCAACCCCAAACAGTTCAGGTCAAGTCCTGACACCTGGAAAATCCTAATATTAACTGTGTATGATTAAACTATACCACTGGAATACAGTATTTTTCGAGGAAAGTGGGGGAATAACATTGCTTAAGGGTGGAAGTAACATTACAAGAAATACGGATCCAAAACGGTCATGTGGTCCCATCCTCTTGAAACCATGTTTCATTTTACCTTACATCCTGAAACCACAATGCCGCAGATTTCCCCACCCCACTTCACTTGTAAGCTGCTGCTTACAATGACATGGGAACCTATTCGCATAATGATGTCAAGACACAAAGTTCATTGTACTAGAAGTACTGTCCTTCTCATAATCTTTAGTTCCACTCTAAAGCATTGTGTGGCTTTGTTCTTTCCTCTCTGTATAGTTCATATTTTTGTTTAAATAAAGCAAGTAAAATTCAGTCTCGGAGCTATGTTACAGCGAATAGCAGACCCTAGCATTTTAAGATAGACAATTGTTTTTAGGAATGTCTGTGCACTGAAAAGGGCTAATACAGTTATAAATAGCAGAGCACTTTAATTCGGGGAGGGGGGGGATGTCCATAGTGACCTAGCATTGCGAAAGTTAGACAAGTGAAGATGGAAAAAGGTAGCATCAAGCATGGCTGAGGGATCAGTCCATTGAGCTAATCTGTTTCGGGTACATGTAGCGCAAATGCTTTTTTGCTGCTATCATAGTTACAAAAAAAGGTATCCATTAGTTTTTGTATGTCAAATACCAGACCTGTGAAACCTGTAAAGATATACAAAATATAATTGTTGCTAAGACTGTATATTTTAAAATAAGCCACAAAGTGTGTGTGTGTGTATGTATATAGGCATACATGTTATAATTACACTGTCAGCACTAGTACTGAGTTTGTCTCTTCTAAATACAAACCAGTATACATTCCATTCCATTTCATGCACCTACAAACACATGATCATGCACACAGCACTTCTTCCTGCTGTTTGTGGGAAAAGTCAGAATATACAGAACTATACATTATTTAAATTAAATATATATATATA